ATTATTGGCAAAATCCTGGCAACACTACTTTTGGCCAATACGTTTCAGACGCCAATATATCGGTGCATCCCTAGTAATAGCACAGTGCTGCTAATCAGGAGAGAATATCACAGTTCACTCATCCAATGCTTAATAGGAACTCCTCCTAGGGCAGTGGTGGGCAACCTTTTTTTTCAACTGAGCCAAATCTCGCCAAAACCACGATTGAAATTTATTTTGAGAGCCACATTTTTAAAACTGAAAATACATCCCCCATATAGTAATTCATCCCCCATAGTAATTCATCCCCCATATAGTAATTCATCCCCCATATAGTAATTCACCCCCCCTATAGTAATTCACCCCCCATAGTAATTCATCCCCCATATAGTAATTCATCCCCCATATAGTAATTCATCCCCCATAGTAATTCATCCCCCATATAGTAATTCATCCCCCATAGTAATTCATCCCCCATATAGTAATTCATCCCCCATAGTAATTAATTCCCCGTATAGTAATTCATCCCCCATAGTAATTCATCCCCCATATAGTAATTCATCCCCCATAGTAATTAATCCCCCGTATAGTAATTCATCCCCCATATAGTAATTCATCCCCCCTATAGTAATTCATTCCCCATATTGTGTCAATTCACTTACCTTTGCTCCACGCATTCCTCTCGCCATGTTCCCGCGCCGTTCCGGTGTTCAGGGCGGACTGTGAGAGGAGAGGAGTTCGTCACGCTGCCCCGCCTACATCCTGACAGCCAATGTTTGCCACGCTCCGCGGGCCGGATTAAAAGGTCCGCTGGGCCGTAGTTTGCCCATTGCTGGGCTAGCTGCAGAGTCCTGACTTTTGGGGCGGCCGCCCGAGAGGAGGGAGGGGAGCGGGCGCCCGGCCCACAGAAGAGCCGCATTAAAGTGTGTAAAGAGCCGCATGTGGCTCGCGAGCCGCGGCTTGCCGACCACTGTCCTAGGGTGATGGAATGTCCCTTTTAGAGTCAGAGGAGCTAGGGTGGTGTCATGTGAAAGTCCCCTGGACACTGATCCACCTTTGCATAAGCCAAGAAATACTTTATGCTAAGCTGGATCTAGTTATTCTTGTTTAATAATAGTAAATAATTTTATGTTTTTGTGACATTAATAAGAATGAATGCAGCACATTGTCTGTGTATCTTTATTACTTCATGATTTATTGTACATCTCTATACGAAAAGTGAAAACAAACACAATCACACCTAAGGACTGCTATACTGCGGTACATAACATTTGTCTAGATATGCTTTAATGATTAAAATAGTGATGGGGTTATGCTTTGTATGAACACATTCTATTTTATTTTGAAGCTCAAAAAGTCTGGTGGCCTTGGCATATCTTGGGCGTAACGACCTCATCTGTGGATCTATGACAGTACTTCTGGAGAATCTCCATCATAATTTGGTTTGTCCATCAGGGAGGGGTATTAGACTCCCCCTCCTATTCCTTACTTTCCAACACCCTCTACTTTACCTTGTTCCACCCTCTTCTATATTTTTCTCTTGCATCCCTTTTTGCCATTTTTCTTTCCTATTTCAACTACAGATAAATGGTTTAGATTGCAGTGGTATCTGTTACTGTTTATTAGAAGACTGTTTCTGCGATAATATATCATAGCACACAGTTCACAAGACTATTTGAGAATATGATGCTGGCAATTCTCAGAAATCCATATCCTCAGATCGCTTCATCTATTACTGTTTTTCGTTATTATTTTATAGGCAAACCGGCTCATATTACTATACAAAGTCTCCTAGAAATGAATGTGTTGTATCTTCTTATAGATAGATGTGTCTTTAAATGTACATCTATGTCCACTGTAACAAAATGTACATGTATACCCTTTGACATTCTTTTTAATAAATAGAATATTCAGAATCACAGTCATCCAGGACTTCTCACGAAAGTGAGGTGGAGAGTATGTCATTAACGAAGAATGATGCCACCAGCAAGTGCAATACAGAGAACAGCTCAACCCATCTGTAGATCCATGACGTCACAGATTACAGCAGTTTGGCATCAATATGTAGATGATGGGATTGATTTAATCAGTGCAGTCATCAACACTGAGGAATACCATACACAGAGGAGCCATCTTCCTTTACCATCAGAGAGCTCCCATTAGAGCAGGGGTCCCTAAACTATTGCCCTCCAGCTGTTGAAGTACTACACGTCCTATCATGCCTCTGCCTCTGGGAGTCTTGCCTGTGGCTGTCAGAGTCTTGTAAGGCTTTACGGGACTTGCAGTTTCTCAACACCTAGAGGGCCGTAGTTTGGAGACCCCTGCATAGAGGATGAGGACAGCTCGTCATCATCGATTATTTTTAACAATAAATACATTGTTGACGGTCTCTAGCCTGCTTTGACAACATGGAAGAGAGGAACCCATCAAATATGGAGCTGAAGACTACCTTGATTGTACAGTTCATTTATTTGTCTGTCTATGTACATCTGCAATTTCTTTTTTCGCTCTACCCATCATGTTATGGTTCTACCAACATCAGTGAACTGGAAGCTAGCAGACCAGAGTCCACTTCTGGACTCTGATGAGGAAGTTGCTACTGTTGCAAACCTGACAAGGGACTCATCCTCCCTGTCACTCATCAGTAATTCTTCCTTTTACTTCTTAGCAGGTGTCAGGAGTCTTTTGACCATCAGATTCCACACTTTGTACTCATGAGAGGTTTATTTAGTAATACAGTTCAAGAGAGCAACGATAAAGAACTAAGGGTAGAATTTAACAGCACAATCCTAAAGATCAGTAAAGAGTGCTATAAGTAAGGTATTGTACTTGATATATTTTTCAGGTTATTTTGACGTCAGCTGTGTGTAGCAAAAAATGTCCCATGCCATAATAATGTTTATTTTAAATATCCTCAGTCCTGATCATGAAGCATTTACAGGTTTATTGGTGATTGGTTTAAATTCATTTTGTAGAAGTGAACTTATCAAACCATTAATCAGTCAAGGTGAATGTAACATTACACTGGTACATGAGGAAGCATATAACCTGGAGAATGGGTTTTAAATATACATTTCAAAGTGCTTTGTTGTATCGGATTGCAAAAAAATACCTAACACGATCTGATCATCACAGAAATTCAGAGCTGTCCTGTGCACACTGCTTTTGGAGTTGATAGGATAACTTTGAAAAATATGGATGGGTTTTACAAACTCTCAAGTGTTTACTGGAAACAAACGTAGATGTTATGTTATAGTAGAATATTTTATAAGTCAATTGCTGTAGACATGAGAAATCCTACAGAATACAGGTCACTCAACAGATAACCACCTTTATTGCAGTTTCTAACCCCTACATCTGTGTCCCCCACTGTCTTTGTGATTGAATGTACACTGTTTGAAGGACTGTTCTGTTTTTTTTGCTCTTCTAGGACACTTATCACTGCTTACAAAATAAGAGCATACTGACATTTATAGGACACCCGTAAAAGCTATACAACATTGCGGCAGTAATACGCTGTAATGATACATGCATCATATTTTAAATTTATCCCATTTCTAGTATGGATAAAATTAAAATATGAAAAAATAAACAAAAACTTTATAGAAGAAAAAACAAACAACCCAACTGATATTTTGCCATATTTTTTTTACCACTGGCAATATTGACTGTTTTATTTATTTATAAAGCTGATTTTGGCAATTTCAACTTTGTTTTTCAACAAACGTGAAAATAATTTAGTACCTTTACCAATTTACAATCGGAATACGCAACCAAAACCTGACATAAGGCATCACATTTTGGTGAAGAAAAGGTGAAGAATGATTATGATCTTTTTTAATTTAAATATTTTTGCAGTATTGCTGATGTTTTCAAATAACTTTTTACCAATTCTTGTACTTCACTGCAACAGCACTTCCCTTGTCAAAGTGTTGCATATTGGGGGAAACCAGGTTAATTTTGCCAATTTGGGTGATGAGTTCTAAAATTTAGGCAATGATTTATTTAGATTTTTAAAATAGTGCCAATAGTCATGTCTACTTTACCTTGAATGTTTCAGACATTGACACATATATTTTAAACTAATATTGGTGGTAAGTGATTTATATATTTTATGTGCAAAGTTTCTATGGATATATGCCTAATTTGTCTGCAGAAGAAGGTAAAATGCCAAACATTGCTACGATAAGGACTGTACCATCTGTCTCTCTGATATTGAGGAAGGAGAGAAAATCAGGTAATGTGTGTCTTATTAATTTTATCTAATATTCTTTAATGTTTTAGACAAATTGCCTGTAACATAATGCAACCTCTGTCAGCCTGGGTACTGATCTTTTGCATTTCTTTTCCTCCTGCAAGCATCTTCCGTGCATCCACATTTTCCTATCTGGCCTGCAATGACTAGTGGCTGCCTTTCACCAGATATTGCTCCCTGTGTAGGCATGACCTAGAAGCTACTCACACCACCTCCAGACCACTGAGCAATACAAGGGAGCAGGCCAAAACTCTAAAAATATATTTATTAATTTTTTTCTCTCATATATATATTTTATAATTTAATAGTACAATATTAACTATTTTCACCACTTTTTGAGGTTATACCAATTTGATTTACCTCGTTATAGGGGGAACTTTATATGGCCATTTTACCTTTCAGGAGCATTATGCTGGTTATACAGTATATATTACAGTGTAATTGTATAATCTCTATTCATTCTCCTTTTGAAATACCAAAGATATCACACATACAGGTCAGGATTATTGATACACTCAGCGTTAACAGGTGTGTTAACCTCTTTACACATATTACAATTTGATGGCTCAATCTAGTAATATTAATGTAAATAATACAACAATGGCAGATGAACTTCAATGTGAAATGAACTGAGACTGCAGCACACTTGTGTCAGTACAGACCAGAAGATTTCTAAAGATTTTACCCAGATGCCAGTTTATTCTCCATCCCATACTAAACAGTCATTCCCATTTAAAAAAAGAAAAATCTGGCAATACAGTTCATGTCACCTTGTGTAGGATCTCTGCCAGTTATAAATTTCATGGATATTATGAAGACAGCTTTGTTCCTTTCTACATGAGGCCCTGTCCTGCATTGTTTTGTTGATGGAGAAAGAGATGGTTCCTTTTCTCCTTGAGAGACCTTTAAGCCTTTCCTCCATGGCAAAGAAGTCCACAGTAGACTTGAAGAAGTCAAGCAAAGCACTGTGACTCCACATTGTACTAGACACATCTTCTTTGATAAAGCCACAGTGACCACCGTAACGGCTCATCAACAGGAAAAAGTGAGGGTTTGTCTCAAAGAGTTCAAAGGGTATTGTGCTGTAGGGTTCCCCACGGATGGGGTCATCTTGGCTGCAGATGCACAGTACTGGAATAGCCACTTCATCTATGTCTCGGAGTGGGTCATTCCTTTCCCAATAAGAATCCCATGACATGCTATTTGAAGTCTTGGTTTGGCAAAACACTGCTTCTTCAAGTTCCTTTATTGTCCGGCTCCCCAAAAGTCTTTCTGTATTGATCAAATGTCCTAAAGCTGTAGCATATCTGTAAAAAAAATGAAAATAGAAATATAGAAGAAAAATTTAGTTTCCATAAACAGCAGAGACAGTAGCGGTAGTAAAAGTTTCATTATGGCAGGACTATAAATACAATTACCTACAGCTAAAAGATGAAATTTACAAACCCATTGTAAGCTGAATTTATTTCTAGAATAAATAAATGATGCTAGAATAAAAACCTGTATGGTTATAGGTGTATAAAATTCTTCAACAAAAGCTCATCTCAAAACTGTTAATGCATTTTAAAGTGGGTGGCAGGTGATGCGATTACCTGACAGGTACAGTTACTTACATACTGAAATACATGTAAAATCTGCCATGCTGAAGATCCTGTGCCGATTTTCTCACCTCTCATGTTGCCCAGGACAATGAGAATTATTATGTTGGCCCATCTATGAGAATTTCAATCATATATTGTCAAACGGTGACAAGAGGAGGAGATTCATTGCTCACAACATGTCCTAACCACCATCCATCCAAAACCAAAATTTAAGACGTGGTAGGAATTGCAATGCACAGGTTAGCTATGGCTCTAAAAGTACTCAGCGCAATCAAGATTTGACAGAAGGGCTATTTCATGACAAAAATTACTACTGTGAAAAAAGGGTTCTGATTCTTATTATCATGCAGATTTTTGCTTTAATTCAAAATTTTAGATGAACACAAAAAAGTGACACCTAGAATGCACTGTCGCCGTCTGTTTTGTACTTTGTGAAGTTCAGTGAAATGTAGCTTTTGCAGCCAAAATCTGTAGGTGGCAGTCATGATACTCCTACAGTCTCATTGCTGCAGAATATGTAAGATTTTGAAGAGATTGCATTTTGAATTAAATATATAGCTGGGGCTCTTTCTAGATGTCAGAAGTTTGTATTTTTACAGTGATAATTTATTAGTGAAAAATAAATACAGTAATTAGCAAATACTTGCATAATTATTTTGGCAAAGAAACGTACATGACTCACAAACAGTGGATATAAGAGACACATGAGTTATTCAGTAACCCATAGCAGGCAACAAATATTTATATTTTACTAATCTGACCACAGCCATTTTAAAGTTTGCCATAGATTACCACATTTTCTCATCAGCTTTGAATTGCACTGCACTTGTATTTGCATAAGAGGACACAATCTACCATCTTAGTACTTTAGCACTTCATTTAGAAATGGTTGTAATGTACCAATGCACTCAATTTGTCTGTGGTCTGTTCAAATTAGTACATACAGTACTTACTCCTAAAGCTGGAACATTCCTGCAAGCTCCCTAATGTCTTTCACATACAAAATATACAGCACTAAGGGGTTTCGTACAGCAACTCCTCAGCTTCAAACCGGCTTTGGAAGGAATTTTGAATGTAATTGGAAGTGCATGGAGCAGAGAAAGAGAACGTAACATAGCACAAACTTTAGAACGTCTAATCTTTCTGCTCCTCTTACTAAACCTGTTAGATGGTCTTTGCAATCTGAGTGTAGTATATTACACAATACTTCAAATAGCACAGTGCAGAATTTACTTTATGGCATCAGCAGCTCACCTACAGCTTTCACATTTTCCTGGATGTATTTATCAAATAAGGTTACAGTTACATATGCTCCTTCAGATAGAAAGTAATCTAGTAACAATATTTGACCTTCAGGCTTAATAAATTTCAGCCAAAAAGAAAAAGATGGGTGAAAGTCCACACCCAAAGATGGCACACCACCATACTCTACCTTGAGACAAGGCCACAACGCCCCGAAGCTATTTCTGAATGCCAGAACACTTTGACCTAAATAGCGGTAAAGATAGATATCTCTCATATCTGGCAAGACTTTCAGAAGCTACGTAAAAGAGTCACCAAAGCAGAGTTGTGTCCATTTCTTCTCCATGATGGAGCAAACAATCCAGTGAACTGAAACATGCCACCATCGAAAAGCCAACACTATTTAACTCCTATGGCATCTCTGCAAGGTTGTAGATACTCTTTATTATACCTTGGCCTTAGACTTACTCCAAATACGGTCATTGACTTAAACCATAATTTATGATTTACTTCAGTTCAATATCCTTGTACATTGGTGTATTTTAGAATGTATTTTGTATAATTTATAATAATAATTAATATGTCAGACAGGAAACAAAGTAGCCTATTTATTGATCAAAGACTTGAGATGCAAAAAGCTTCCACAGAAGTATGGTTATGTACACATATCATGCACAAATGCTTGCACAACAGGGTGCCATTTACAAAGCCAGTGTATATATCAGTCCTACATATTATACAAGAATATGTTTTGGTTTCTCTTCAAATTTTAAACCAGTGCTTGCTATTTTTTTTAGTGTAACGAAGGTCATTTTCAAATGCACAATATATGAGCTGTTGCAGTGCTTACAAAACAGACTAATGTCTCTGCTCAGTACCTCTGCTAAGGGCGTTTCAGTGATTCTGAAGTTCCTTTGTGTGAGATTTACAATAATACTGTGACTCAGTGCACGTTTCATTGTTCATATATATTTCTGCAGAAAAAAATTGCTGTTTAAAACCAATCGATTTTCTACGTTTCCCAAAAGAGAACAGTCTGGGGAACATCAAAAGTTATTTTTGAACTATTGTGACCTAATGTCTACCTTAAAAGTGTACCTGTGATCATGAAGGCCTACCCGGAGGCTGCCTCCTCCTCAAAGTAAATATGGCTCCACAGGGTTAGTTTTCCAAAAAAGCCCACTTGTAAAAGAAGCATTATCTACTTACCTTTTAACCCCTTCTCTGTTCTGCAGCCTCTGGGAACATTCTACTGTGTGCAGAACAGTGGCTACATGGTTCACACTTCCCCCTAGCAGGGTCTACTAGAGTCAGCTCCAATCCTAACCACAGCACTAATTACATGGAGTTTGCATGATCTTCCTGTGCCTGCGTGGGTTTCCTTGTACTCTGGTTTCCTCCCACACTCCAAAGACTGGTTAATTAATTGGCTTCCGCCTAAATCGGCCCTAGTTTGTGTTTGTGTGAATGTGAGTTAGGAACCTTAGACTGTACGCTCCTTGAGGGCAGGGACTGATGTGAATGTACAATATACAGTTGCAAGAAAAAGTATGTGTGAACCCCTTGAGATTACGTGGAGTTTTGCATGAATTGGGCATAAAATGTGCTCTGAACGTCATCTAAGTCACAACAATAGAAGAACACAGTCTGCTGAACATAATACTACACAAACATTAGATGTTGCCATGATTTAATTGCACATAACATGTAAACATTCACAGTGCAGGGAGGAAAAAGTATGTGAACCTTTGGACTTAATAACTGGTTGACCCTCCTTTGGCAGCAATAACCCCAACCAAACGTTTCCTGTAGTTGCAGATCAGACCTGCACAACGATCTGGAGTCATTTTGGACCACTCCTCTTCACAAAACTGTTTCAGTGTAGCAATATTCTTGGGACGTCTGGTGTGAATCGCTCTCTTAAGGTCATGCCACAGCATTTCAATGGGGTTGAGGTCAGGACTCTGACTGGGCCACACCAGAAGGCGTATTCTGTGCTGTTGCAGCCATTGTTTTGTTGAATTACTTGTATGCTTTGGGTCATTGTCCTGTTGCATCACCCATCCTCTGCGGAGCTTCAGTTGGCGGACAGATGGTCGTACGTTTTCCTGCAAAATGTCTTGATAAACTCTGGAATTCATTTTCCCATCAATGACAACAATCCGTCCAGGCCCTGAGGCAGCAAAGCAGCCCCAAACCATGATGCTCCCTCCGCCATGTTTCACAGTGGGGATGAGGTTTTGATGTTGGTGTGCTGCACCTTTTTTTCTCCACACATAGTGTTGTGTGTTTTCTTCCCAAACAACTCAGTCTTGGTTTCATCTGTCCACAGTATATTTTGCCAGTAGTGCTGTGGAACATCCAGGTGCTCTTTTGCAAACTTCAAACGTGCTGCAATATTCTTTTTGGACAGCAATGGCTTCCTCCGTGGTGTCCTCCCATGTACTCCATTCTTGTTTAATGTTTTCCTTATTGTAGATGTGTCAACAAAAATGTTAGCATGTGCCAGAGATTTCTGTAGGTCTTTAGCTGACACTCTGGGATTTTTCTTTACCTCATGCAGCATTCTGCGCTGTGCTCTTGCAGTCATTTTTACAGGACGACCACGCCTAGGGAGAGTAGCAACAGTGCTAAACTTTTTCCATTTGTAGACAGTCTGTCTTACCGTGGACACATGAACATCAAGGCTTTTGGAGATACTTTTGTAACCCTTTCCAGCTTCATGCAAGTCAACAATTCTTGATTTGTAGGTCTTCTGAGAGCTCTTTTCTGCGAGGCATGGTTCACATCAGACAGTGCTTCTTCAAACCAGTAAACCCAAAACAGGTGTGTGTTTTTTAAGGGCAGGACAGCTGTCAGCAACACATCCAATATCATCACACTGATGGGAGTCAAGGTTGGCTCACTCCTGGCTCCAATTAGCTCTGGGAGAAGTCATTAAGCTAGGGCCTCACATACTTTTTCCTCCCTGCACTGTGAATGTTTACATGTTATGTGCAATTAAACCATGGCAGCATCTAATGTTTGTGTAGTATTATGTTCAGCAGACTGTGTTCTTCTATTGTTGTGACTTAGATGACGTTCAGAGCACATTTTATGTCCAATTCATGCAAAACTCCACGTAATCCCATGGGGTTCACATACTTTTTCTTGCAACTGTATGTAAAGCGGTGCATACATTTACAGTGCTATAAATGTACCTGTAATAAAATAAAACTGTCAAAAGAGTAGAATGCTCTTCTACTCACCTGCTGGCTGCTGTGGTTCCTATGCCAGCTCATACATCTTGAAGTGATGTAGAAGCCACCTGGAGGAACCAAAGTGCCTTGGGGGGGAGAAAACATTCCATCCATCTGACAGTGGAATGCAAACATACACTGGATAGTGGTGGATTTTCCCTTCTCAGACTATTGGAAAGATAACTAAATGCTTCTTTTACAGGTGCACTATTTGGTAAACGTGAC